CTGAGAGTGACACAAAATTGGCTTCATAAAAGTCCTGTCTTTTAAAGGTTGTGTCTTGCCCAAGTTGAAGATGTTTTGGTAGATCCTCTATAGCGCTATAATTCTGGAATAAAAAGGCTTGTGTAAACACATGTGGCATTGTCAATGAAAGTTAAGATGAGCTACCCAGAGAAAAATGTAAAAATTGTTATTAAGGTGACTCATAAATATTACCAGATCTTTACAGTTTTTGGGGGGTGTGGTCAGGAAGTTGGGTTTTGTTCACAGATACTTTGAACCTCTCCCTCAACCCACCCCACTTCTCAATCATGACATGTCTAAAATATCTGCTCATTATTGAAGAGGTAGTGGAATTCGAAAGCATTGACTATTCCACATGTGTGTGTGTGGGTGTGTATGTGCTTTTCATCTTACTGAGATCACTGGATGCCAGCTCATACTCTTTTTTTCTCTAGGTCTTACTTCTATACTGGGTTTGGGCATTGCAGCTCCCAATTTGGCCTTTTCTCAGATGGTGACCACTTTTGGCTTGGCCGGCATTGTGGGCTACCACACCGTCTGGGGAGTGACCCCTGCTCTCCACTCGCCACTGATGTCTGTGACTAACGCAATCTCAGGTTTGTTTCCCTCTTGGGTTTTCTCATGTTAGGTTTTCATAGGCTTGTTCAATTCTTGGAGTGCTTTCAATGAGGTTTAAAAGTCTCTGTTTACAAATTGTATTGCTTGGAGCCTGGGGTTTTTGTGGGGTGACTCGGGGCGCCCACAGGGTGTAGGGGGGTGGGATTGTGCAGCAGGAGAGGCCATGGGAGTGTCAGGCCTTTGGAGGGGCTCCCATTTCAAGCTGTGCAGATCCACTGTTACTTCATTCAGTTATGATTTCCTTTAAAAAAAGAATTCCACTGGTAAAATTCGAAAACCAGTATTTCACAGAATCATGGTTATAACATCCTTAGGGGCTGTTCTTAAATTCAACTAAACATTCAGTCTCATAAGACTACAATAGGGCATGATTGACATCGGATTCACTGTGAAGCTTGTGGGACAGGAAACAGCTGCCAGCGGGGCGGCACTGGGCGTTTCTCTTTGGTACGAGTTTTCACAACGGTCTATACATCACGGCACACAGCTGCCCAAGAGCTGTTCTCTTTGGTCCCCAGTATGGTATGAGGGAATGAGACCCACATTGGACAAACTGTGGGAGCTGCCCTGGCTTGGAGGCCTCATGATCCCAGTAGTCATCTCTTATAGTCCCAGGTTCCAGGTCTCCATAGGCAGCATATCCAGTTCCAAGAGTCACTGTCGTCAGAGAAGCCCAAAGCTATGGCATTTCCATCAGGAAATTATGCCATTTACATAATTATTCATAGTTTATAAATAATTCCTTCTAGTTCAGATGGAATTTATCCACCAGGAGTCACCTTTTACCACAAACAATGTTTTCTAGTAATAATTGATTTATATCTTTTTCAGGTTTCCAGGGGAAAAGAGCTACAAAGTCAAAGGCAGGTCATATTTTTATGCAGAAGGGGAAAGGTTATGTTAATCCTTTGCCCACAATAGCACTTCAGTGAGAATGGTATGAAGGTGTACTGTCAACCATTTTTACCAGGGAATTTGTTTGTATCATTTTAATGAAGATAACAAGAAAGCTGCCTTGTCTTTTGAAATTGAGAACGTTTCTTTTTATGTATATGTGTATGTGAGGTCCTTCAGCTATGACAGTTGACCTGGCCGCATCACTGTAGTCATTCACCATGTTGATTCTCTCTTCCTAGGGTTGACTGCAGTTGGTGGGTTGGTGCTGATGGGAGGACATTTGTATCCTTCCACAACCTCTCAGGGCCTTGCTGCTCTTGCTACATTCATATCCTCGGTCAACATTGCAGGTACAACATCCGTGAAAGGGCCCAGGGTGCTGTTTTTAATGGAGACATAGAAGCAAATGAAAATAAATGTAAAATAGGCATTCTGATTTTAAGAATTTAATTATGCTTTTAAAAAATGTTTCACCCAGATCATAAATGCTCTTGGTGAAGGAAAATCAGTTATTTTGTCCATCTGTAGTTTTTAGAAACTCTTTTGATAAAAGAGTACTCCACCCGTATCCCAAAACAAACAAACAAAATGATATCTTGCTACAAGTTGACCGGAAAGTTATTGAATGCATAGTTTTAATTTAAATTGACTAGAGCTATCACCATAACATCTACAAATAAGTATAATTTAAGATAAAATTTTAGCCTTTTGCCTTATCCCTACCCAGTGTTTGTTCTTGAAAACTGTAAGCCTGGCACATCACTGATGTATGAAACTCATTTGATGGTATTTTGTAGCTAAACATTCTTTACTGTGTACAAGAAACTTGGTGCCTATTGATACGGTAGTTTCTTCTTTTATTATTTATTGTAAGGTTTAAAAAAATAGAATAGCATATTAAAAAAAATTAATGATCTGTGATCTTTTGCATTCCCAAGATGTTTGAATGGCTGTTTACTTTTAGTCATGCAGAAACAGTTGGTTCTGTACTCTGACAGCAAGTTTTCTTTCTGAAATTATTTAGAGTTTCCCCTCCCCCCACCCTTTAATGGAACTGGCTTGAATAATAGAATCACTTTTAATTTTGAGGTTCTAAAATGTAACTTAAAACTGTACTTAACCCTAGATGATAAAGATGTACTTAAAATAGAAAAAATATAGCACTTTAAAAAGAATCATGTTGCTCAATGAAATTCCTCTTCCAGTTTTATATTTCCTTTCATTTGATCAGGTGGCTTTCTGGTGACTCAGAGAATGCTGGACATGTTCAAACGTCCTACCGATCCCCCAGAATACAATTACCTGTATCTACTCCCTGCTGGCACCTTTGTTGGAGGATATTTAGCTGCCCTCTACAGTGGTTATAACATTGAACAAGTAAGAGGCTCTTTTGAAAGTTATTTTTTGCCACTAAGTTTTCTTTCCAATGAGATTTAAGATTATAGTTACCAAAATTCAACCTCTATTAAGCAAATACAACAGTAACCCTGGAAACAACTTGGTCAATTAGAGCACTGGTCTAAGGATCAGGACCCTGGATTTGCCTGCTAACTGAATGTGCAAACATAGGTTTACCATTTGTCCCTAAGTTTTGCTATATATAAAGAGAGTCGAGAAGGTTATTAGTATCCTCTTTATGTACCTGGCTGGATTTTTGTAGGGATACAATGGAATAATCAGTAAAAATTTGAAGAATTTTATTATTAAATACTATATTAATCTTTTTCCTACTTTCTTCTACAAATCCAGCACATCATCCACTCGTTACCTTGTCCCCGCAACTTCTGTTAGAGAGCCACTATTGGACCAAATTATTATTATTATTTTTTAATTATATTGTGACAAAATATTTATAACAAAAACTTGCCATCTTAACCATTCTTAAGGGTGCAATTCAGTGACATTGATTACATTTGCCAGGTGGTGCAACCATCGTCACTATTTACTTCCAAAAGTTTTTCATCTCCCCAAGCAGAAACTCAGTACTCCTTAAATAATAACTACCTGCTCCCCCCTCCCTCCATCCCCTGGTAACCACTAATAAACTTTTGCCTCTGTGTATTGTTGTATTACAGATATTTCACGTAAGTGTGATCATATAATACGTGTCCTTTTGTGATTGATGTATTTTACTCAGCATAATGTTTTCAAGGTTCATCCAAGTTGTAGCATGTATCAGAACTTCGTTTCTCTTTGTGGCTGAATTGTATACATATACTATATTTTGTTTGTCCATTCATCTGTTGAAGGCCAACTCCGTTTAAAAATTAGTGCTATATAGAAAAACAGAAACAATCAAGTTGAACTTTAACAGTTCCAGGTTGAAATATAATTATAATAGAGCCTCCGGTTTGTTCTGTAAAATGAGGATGATGATTCTTTCCTCCTGTCATTCTCGTGAAACCAAGTTACAACACAACACAAGAAAAGGTCACGGCACAGTCCCCAGCAGTTACATCATCAGGGTTGGCTCCTTTGCGGCATTTTATCAGGTCTAATATTTTCAGATCCATCTAGCTGGCTTTTTAAGTCTACCTGTACTTTTGTACATAATAACTCCTTTTAAATTTAGGCACTTTTGTATGCATTCGGGTATGAAAATCAAATGCAGAAGAAGCCAATTTTCATAAATGGAATCACCACAAGTACAGTTTAAAGTATTTAATGTGTTACTGTTCCTAGTGTATAGGAACATATGTTGAAATATTGAAAGAAGATCTCAGTTGGCCCATCTGTTGTCTAAATTTAAAATTGTCCTTAGAGAATCATGTTTCCTCACAAGACGTTCTCCCTATATTAGTAGACTAAAGGTTGTGATAATCTCTCTCTCCTTTCCTTTGAAAAGATCATGTACCTGGGCTCAGGTTTGTGCTGTGTTGGTGCCCTGGCTGGCCTTTCCACCCAAGGAACAGCTCGTCTTGGCAATGCTTTGGGCATGATTGGGGTTGCTGGAGGCCTGGCAGCCACCCTTGGAGGCCTGAAACCGTGCCCAGAATTGTTAGCTCAGATGTCTGGAGCAATGGCTTTGGGCGGTACCATTGGTAAGCACATGTGGGCTTCTTTCTGTATTTCAGCCCATGCCCTACAACAACTAAAGGCAGTTAGGCTCAGAGATTTTTGAGTAATTTCTTGGGAATAAGACCTTTCCCAATAGCACTTCCGTTCCTGAATATATTTCTGTTCGAGTCCCGTATTGAGCAAAGAATTAAATTGCCTTAATGGCAGTTACGACGGTGATTATTATTTTGGTAAAAATCCATCACAGTTGTTACAGTTCTCATTCAAATGCAGACATTTTAAAACATTGAGTAAGTATGTCAACTGAATCAGAAGAGCAGGCTAAAAACACCCTTTACTCAATTCTTCTTTTCCTTGACTGGCTCTGTCCAGGCAGTTGTCAGTAGAATGGGGATTAGAATACTTATATAGGTGCTAGATATAGGCTCATCGTTTGTTTTGCTGGATATAAATAACAGCAGAAGATTCTGCTTCATAGGCTTGAAAAACACACATGCCAATAGAAAAACCACTGTTTTAATCTTATTCAGTTGTGTGCTGGGGCTAATTGTTAAATTTTCAGGAATATTTCGAGTTGGTCGTTAAACACGGCCAGTATTAAAAATTAAATTATATAAACTTAGAACTAAATAAATTATACTAAACAAAGGTAATAATACTAAAAATGCATCACTTTCTAATTAATTTACTAAATTTTATCATCTGTGGTCTTGACGTTATTTATGTCTGTTGTATCTCTATGGTAGAAATACTATGTAATGGTGTGCTACTGCACATCTTTTTCCAACTCTACATTCAGTGACATCACTTTGGTAGCTTGAGATCGGCCATGGTGGATATTTACACCATGTACATCAACAGAAGTACAAATCTGGTCTTGATTTATTGTTTTGTTTGTCTCCATCTAAGAAAGTGATGGAGAAAATGTTAATATTGTAACCTAAGCTTGAAAATGTGTAGCTGTTACATGGTTAATAGCACAAAAATATGAGGAAATGTTTCTTTGTAGAACTACTATCAGACGTAGCAAAGAAGTCACATTGACAAATGAGTGAAGTTCTCACATACATCTTTGTTTCACTTTCATCTTGTTGATTGGAATAAAAATATCAATCAGCGTTCATGTCGGAACTACACTCGTTTATCAGTTGCAAACACAGGTTGGCTACCAATACAAAAGTTTGGCAAAAATCATTTTTAAAAAGATAGTTTAAAAATTAGTGCTATATAGAAAAAAGAAACAATCAAGTTGAACTTCGAAAGCATTCTGTGAAAATCAACTGGCTGTATGGAATGTATAATAAAGTGTATTGTATATTTTATTATTACTTCAAAATTGTGTGCTATACACATTTCTGTCAGTAAAAACTCATGTGTGTGTTTATACATGCACATGTTTTTTTCCTCCCAGGGAGCTGGTTGTTGAACATTTATATCATCCATCTTAAGCTTCTTGTTAACTCCCCCGGAAAACCTTTGAGTCCTCTCTTGACAGTCCTCAGAGACGACTTGAAGGAAAATGCTGTGTGCTGCAGGTTCTGCATCACCTGCCTATAGCCATGCAACTTTTCAAGAGTCTCCTAATTTGGGCCTCTCCTACCCAGATATTTGAATTTCTTTACCACTGGACTTTGTTTTTGCTCACCCGCCTGAAAACCTAGGCCTACTTCATATTCTGTCTGTTTCTTGTGTGACCAGGAGCAAATATTGGCTTATAGAGAAGAGGGGTGGGTTGTTTGTGCAGTAAAAGGATCTCAAGGGGATTTACTTGGAGTTTTAAGCAATCTAAAGAAGCATTAGGCTAGGAGGATGTTCAGAGTTGTAAGGGGAAGGGAAAGACACATTGATTTAGTGTGTTTGGGTTCTTCATAGTTTGACCTTGGTTAGGTGTGATGAGAAAATAAGCTACCTTGAAGGGGTATATATAGCCATTCTTCTTACCTTCTGTAGAGTCCCTAGAATATTTATCCAATACTAGGAACTAGATAAATATTTATTAGTGACCTTGATGGAAAGCCTTAAGTGAGATTTTTATATTGTTGTTACTTCTCCAAGATCTGTCAAGTTTTAATTTCTTTTTGACCTTCATTTCCCAACAGGCTTGACAATTGCCAAGCGCATCCAGATTTCTGATTTACCTCAGTTAGTCGCTGCTTTCCACAGTTTAGTGGGGTTGGCAGCTGTGCTTACTTGCATAGCTGAGTACATTGTAGAATATCCACATTTTGCTACGGATGCAGCAGCAAATCTTACCAAGATTGTGGCCTACCTCGGTACTTACATTGGTGGTGTCACCTTCAGTGGGTCTCTTATTGCCTATGGAAAATTGCAGGGTAAGTGATTCAGCATAACAGAGGTAAATATTTATAATCTAGGATTTTTTTGGGGGAGTGGAGGGAGTCCATTTCACCTGCTAGGTGAAGAGTATTAGTATGGCACTCAGAAATATATGAGTTTTTTTTTCCTCCATAAAGATGACTTCCATTTATTTATCCTTATAAATCTCATTAAATTTTGAAGTTATTTCTTTGAGGTAGATAGCTAGAGGAAGAAACTAGTACACGGACATTTGCCTGGAAGGACTAGTTGACGTTTGATAATGTATACGAACAAAATAACATCCTCAGAATCCCAGGTTCAAGACATCTTTGTAGACTTCACAGAAACAAACTTTTTACATTTTCTAGAATAAAGAGAAGCTTATTGAATATGCTTGTATGATTGGTAAATAGTACTTATTTTGAAAATAAATACACATTTAGGGCTCTCTCCTGGCAGCTTTTGCTACTGCTTGCTAAAGCCAATCATCCTGAAAATGGAAGTGGAGGGAAAAAAACACTTAGGCTGCTTTCAATGTTTTCACAAAAAATGTGAGTCTCTAGAAAACTAGCTTATGGTTTAAAAACCTGGTCTTGTCTCTCAGTAATTAAGCCTTTAAAATTAAGTGAGGAACTTCATGGAACTTAAAAATTACAAAACAACTTCAGGCCTAACACATTCTTGTCTCATGCTTTGTCTTCAGAAGCAACTAACAAACAAGGATTCTTCTCCCTTGGGCTCAGTTGATAGAATCAGAAATGCTAATGTGCTAGGACACTGTTTTGAAGTTTTAAATAAATAAAACACACTTAACAACTTCTGTGTTGGCCATACGGGGGAAAAAAATCACTTTTCAAGATTCCATGACAAAGGGTAAAGAAATTGTTAGGCGATCAAAGTAAGGAAAAGAAGGGTTAAGTTGAACCATACTTCTCCTATTTCAATTGATGTTTGTTATGTGTAAGAACTCTAATTTGCTATTATGGTTCAGTGTCTGGTGATATAAAGTGATATTTTAAATCCCATGCTACTGTTCTAATACTGAGTTACGGTAGTTTAGGATTAAATAATGTATTTGAGAGTGGGTGTATGCGGAGGGGTTTTCTTATGGCACGTTCTATGTTCTGAATACCTTGTGCTTGGTTCTAGGTATCCTGAAATCCGCCCCTCTCCTGCTTCCTGGCAGGCACTTACTCAATGCAGGTTTGCTGGCTGCTAGTGTGGGTGGAGTAATCCCATTCATGATGGACCCAAGCTTTACCACGGGCATTACCTGTTTGGGTTCTGTGTCGGCTCTTTCTGCTGTCATGGTAAGAAGTCAGAGACTGGAAGCACATACTTAGAGAGGAACAGGGAGTATTTTGTTAGGTTACAGGGTTACAGTCTAACCATCTGTTCAAAATCCCTGGTAGAAAAAAAATGATTTAAAATCATGTTACATGTTCATTTTTTTAGAATCTGGAAAATATAGAAGAGTATGAGAAGAAAATTACTTTTTCCTCTCAATTTCCCTTTCAAAGTTGTGACACATGTGACACCTGTACTGCTCTGGGGTCTTTATACGGGATCATTGTGTTGGTGAACAGGAAGTTAAAAACACCAAGGGTTTTAATTCCATTCATGAGGTGCCTACTGTGTGACAAACCCTTCAAAATAGTGCTGTGGGGTTTACACGATAAGTGTAAGATGGTCTTTGCCCATTAGTTGCTGTCACCTTCTTTGGAAGATATGACATCAAATCAAATAATTATATAAAATGAAATGCAGTTAGTAAGCCCTGTGTGTTCAGTGAGAGGGTTCAGTGAAGCCGTCATTGGTAGGTTTGATCCCTCTTTTCCTCTCTAACTCTTGCTCTAAGTATATTGGTGGTGTTGTTTGGTGCATTGAGCTGATTCCGACTCATAGTGACCAACCAGAATGGAAATAATGAGAATGCTGACTTAATTGTAAAGAATATAACCAATGTCACTGAACAATTTGTGTAGAAATTGTTGAATGGGAACCTAATTTGCTGTGTAAACGTTCACCAAAAACACAATAAAATATTATTTAAAAACAAAAACATAAAGAACGGTTATTTTTGAGAAGAGTGAATTTGATACTTATAAGATACTTAGGCTATATGAGAACGTTCAAGTAAGGTAAAATATTTTGTGGACTTATTTTAATTGCTTCTAGCTTAATTAACTAATACATGAATACATTCACATTGCAATAAACTCAAAATATATAGGAGTATGTGGAAGTAAAAGCAAAAATCTTTCTCCCCACCATCCTTTTCTCTCCCCTATCTTTAGTAATTTTTGATTGCATCCTAGACATTGTGAATGATACATGATAGAGACTTTGGATTCTGTCGTATTCTTCCAAAGAGTATTGATTTTTGTTTGCTTGTTTGTTTTTGTAGGCAGTTAACTTGGCTAGGTTCAAGTTCCAAGTTCTAGCTCCACTATGGTAGGGGCAGCTGAAATCTATTGTTATTTTATCCTTAACAGAATTGACTGGAGTTCTTTCTAAGTATGCATAGTTCAAGAGCCAGCCAGAGATTTAGGCAGACTTTATACTCAGAATGGGGGGCTTTCTGTCTTTGCTTTGTGACTTTACAGGGTTTCCCTCCTTACTCTTCAGCTGCACTAGTTGCCCTACGCTTTGTCCTCAGGATCTTTAAGCCAGTAACATTGTGAGCTTCTTAGTTTTAGCTGCCTTACTTGGCACCAGCAGAGGTTTGCTTTCAGGCTAAAAGCCATACAAACTGGGAAATTTACTCATCGCTATTATCTTTTTCTAACTGTAGACCCACAGGCCACAGCCTTGAAAACCCTATGGAGCACAGTTCTACTCTGCAACGCCGGGGGCCACCACGAGTCAGAATCGACCCATGGCAACTGGTGGTAGTGGTAGACCCCTCTCAGTTTCTGCTTGCTTTTGGTTTCTGCCTTTATTTAAGATTTTTTTTTTTTTTAACCAGTGTTTACGGTTGTTACATATGTGAGAGGGTTGGTCAGATAGGAGATAGTTGGCCATTACCAGAAACGGAACTTATATGTAAATACGGGTAAATTAATGTAATGATTAAGAACCGAGCTATTAAATGTCAGGTGTTATTTATATGCTATTAATTTTGAGTTCCTCTTTGGTTTTTGTCATAGGGCGTGACTTTGACGGCTGCCATCGGGGGTGCTGACATGCCTGTAGTCATCACTGTGCTGAACAGCTACTCTGGTTGGGCCCTGTGTGCAGAGGGCTTCCTGCTCAACAACAACCTGCTGACCATCGTGGGTGCGCTCATTGGCTCCTCTGGTGCTATCCTGTCGTACATCATGTGTGTGGTAAGAAACATGTATTTGAAAGAAAATGAAATGATAACTCTGAAAACAAAGGTGTGCTTGTCATTTCTTTCATCTGCTGTAGAACTTAGTATGCTAATTTTTATTCTCTTCAGCAGAATGTCAGTGTTTCTTTTGAATAAATTACTAAGGCTGCTCTTAAAGTACCCCCTGTAGATAATTAGGAAAATTAAGTATAAAGATAAACATCTTCTAATGCTTCCCTCCATCTGGAGATAAGCCTTTAGGGTTTTGGTTTATTTCCTTCCTTTTTTTTTCCTGTGTGTATTACAGGGCTTGGAGCCAGTTTGTTTGGTTTGAACCCCTGCTGAGAATTTGCATTTCTAACAAGTTCCCAGGCAATACTAATGCTGCTGGTTAGGGACGAGTTCTGAGAACTCCTAGTAGAGCAGTGGTTTTCAGAATTAATGATACATAAGAATCACCTAGGAGTTTTGTTAAACTAGATTCTGATTCAGTATATCTGGGGTGGAAATGCAAATTCTTGTTGGGATTTGAACCGGAATGAATGGGTTCGAAGCCCTGGTGTATTATGTATGTAGTTATATATCTGATCATATTGTATATTGTTTTATGTTCAATTTTTTAGGTCTTACATACCATATTGATAATTTTCTGTCATTAAAAATGCTTTTTAAAATATTATTTTAAGGTACTGCAGACTAATTCATCATGGATATAGAAAATTTATTTAATTTTTCCTACTGCTGTATGTTTTAGGTTGTTTGAGTATCTTTTCTCTTTTCCATTATAAATCTTTGGGATTTGTGATTTTTATCTTAGGATAGATTCCTGGAAGTGAAAGGGTATGCTAATTTTTATGGACTCTTCATACTTATTGGCATATTGTTTCCAGAAAGCTTGTTCCAATTAACACTCCTACTGGTCATCTGTGAGAGTGCCTATCTTGAAATTTTATGGTCAGCATGATTTTTTAAAAAAAGAAAAGAAAAAAGTAACAACATAGATACTTCCTAGCTTCCTTTTTGTTTCTAATTCTCTTCTTGATGGCAAGAAAATATCCTACAAGTAAAAGTTTGACTGGAAAACTTTTTCAAATGATAGATCTTATGCTGTAAATGATAGTTTTGAGTGATTGCTAAAGTACAAGCATGACCCTGAGTGAAATCAGTATGTGACTTTACACTGATAAGTAATTTAGGCAGAAAAAGGATACTTAGTCCACCTTTATTCTGTCATTACAGTATTAAAAATCCAACTTGTTTTATAACTCAGTACTTTCCTTAGGAGCCCTGGTGGTACAGTGGTTAAGCACTTGGCTGCTAACCAAAAGGTTGGCAGTTTGAATTAGGTTTTAATTGAAAGTCTCTTTATAATTGGAATGCTGAAGTTACCTCTTTATGGTAAAAATTTATTTTTTATCTCTTTGTTCATACTGCAGAACAAAGGATTTGATGGCTTAAATTCAGAACAAGCTAAGAGGTTTATAAATTAAATCACTCAAATTGTTCAGAGACACTGGGAAATTTGGAGGTTTGTGTCTCACGTTTGAAAAGTGTCAGACTTTAGGATTAAAAGAAAACATTTATTAAGAAGAAAACAATTTATTCAGTTGTACTACCCATTGCTGTCAAGTTGATTCCGACTCATAGCAACCTTATGAGTGGTACTAGAAATACTGTTTTCTCTAAACATGAATTTTTAACCCAGTTTGACTTTGCTTCATTTGATGAATTTGAATGACCAGCAGGGGGCAGCAGATTTTCATTATTACTTAAGAAACTCCTCGTTTGTCAGAAAATTGATTTTTAAATTAAATGAGAGAACCTATACGTCTGTGGTCAACTGATTTTTGACAAGGGTGCTAAGTCCACTCAATGGGGAAAGAAGAATCTCTTTAGTAAATGGTGCTGGGAAAATTGGATTTCCACATACAGAGAAATTAAACAGGATCCATGCCTCACACCATACACAAAAACATTCAAAATGGATTAAGGACCTAAATGTGCGAACTAAAACCATAAAATTTTTAGAAGAACAAACAGAGGCAACACTGTCAGGTCTAGCTTTTAACAATGAATTATCTAATATAATAACAAAAGCACAAACAGCAAAAGACTAAATAAATGGGACCTCATAAAAATTAAAAATTTTTGTTTATCAAAAGACTACTATAAAGTGGAAAGACAAGCTACCGACTGGGAGAATATCTTTGGAAACATTTGACAAGAATCTGATAACCAAAATATATGTAAAACTTTGACAATTTAACAACAAAAAGACAATAAATAACCCATATAGACATATAGACATAGAATAGACATTTCACCAAAGAGGACATTCAGACGGCCACCAAGCACATGAAAAGATGGTCAGTGTCATTAGCCATCAGAGAGATGCAAATCAAAACCACAATGAGATACCATTTCACTCCCACTAGGATGGCTAAGATAAAAAAAAAACAAAAACAAAACCCAAAAAATAACAATTGTTGGCAAGGATATGGGGAAATTGGAACCCTTATCTATTGCTGGTGGGAATATAAAATGGTACAGCTGTTGTGGAAAACAGTGTGGCGGTTCCTCAGAAAACTAAAAACAGAACTACCGTATGACCCAGTAATTTCATTCCTAAGTGGATACTCAAAAGACTTGAAAGCAGAGACTCAAAAAGAGACTTGTACGCCAGTGTTCATTGCAGCACTATTCACAATAGCCGAAAGTTAGAAACAACCTAAATGCCCGTCAACTGATGAATGGGCAAACAAAATGTGATACATACATACATTGGAATAGTACTCAGCCAGTAAGAGAAATGAAGTCTTGATACATACTTGAAGACATTTTGCAGAGCGAATAAACCAGTCACAGAAGGACAAATATTGTATGACTTCATCTATTTAAAAAGACAAGAAAAGGCAAATGTATAGAGACCAAAGTTTCTTAGTGGTTACCAGGGGTGGGAAGGAGCGGGGAAAGAGGGGGATTGTCAGCGATGGAAAAATCACATTGATTAAGGGTAGGGTTGCACAGCTGATTATTGTAATTGCTGTCAATAAGTTTAAGTTGTATACCTGCAAAAAGTTAGATTGGCGAAAGTTGTGTGATAGATGTGTTTGCAACAATGACCAAAAAAAAAAAAAGTAGCTGCTGAGGTTGCTTATGTACAACCAGACACCTCCTGGGATTTGGTTTATTGGTTTGGAGGTTCAGGGTCATGGTTTCATGGGACATCCCAGTTTTGGCCAAATAATGTGTTTAGTGCTTCTGTTCTACCTCCTAATTCTTTGTATAGTGACTTGCATCTTAAAAGCTTGCAAACGGCCACCCAAGGCACAACAATTGGTCTCTATTTACCTAGAGCAACAGAGGAAAAAGAAGAGTCAGGATTAGGATGAGGATATGAAATGTGTGGCTGATTGCCTCCATGAACAGCTGCCTCCTTTGCCATGAGACCAGAACTGGATGGTGTTTGGCTACCATTACTGAACATTTTGATCAAAGAATCCATAGAAGAATCCTGATCAAAAGGGGATAAATGTAGAACAGAATTTCAAATTCTGACGGACTGTAGAACTTCTGTAACCATGGAGGGTGGATGAACCCCTGAAACTATTGCCCTGAGATAATCTCTAAATCTTAAACCAAAAGTATCCCCTAAAGTCATCTTAAAACTGAGCAATAAATAGTTTAGCTTAACTAATAAAAAAATCTGCCTTGAGCATTATGCTCTTTAATAACCATCTTTATGAGATCATATTGACGGCAGCAGCTTGATTAGATAGGAACCTTAGGGGGCAATGAGTTAATGTTAATGAGGGAGGAACAACTCAGAGAAGGAGGGTGAGAATGGTTGCATAACTCAAAGAATGTAGTCAATGTCACTGAATTGTACGTGTAGAAACTGTTGAATTGGAGTATGTTTTGCTGTGTATATTCTCAACATAGGGTCAGTATGAGTTGGGACCGACTTGATGGCACCTAACAACAACAGTTCTCAACAACAACAAATTAAATAAAATTTAGAAAAAAAAATTAAATGACAGAATTTGGGTTTTAACAAAGCCCTGGCATACTGATTTTGGAGGAAGGAGCTTGTATCTAGTTCTTGGAGTATCATCATGGTTGTCTTCTATGCTTTTTTTTTCTTAAATGGTTTTCTTTCGGTTCTTACATTTTTCAGCAAGATTTCCTCAATACTTGTCTATCTTTTATTTCTCTCCTTTTCTTCCTTCATTTAGTTGCTTTTGTTATTATTATTACTTATAATAACTACAGTAACTCTTACAGTAACAGGCTATAACAGTAGCTAAGATAGTAAGAAGTACTTGTTGAAAGTACTCTTTTCTATGTGTACTTCTGTAAGTGTATACTTTTTCTCTTAATTTTTTCTGTTTTTCATATTTCTTGATCTCTGTTTTTCTAATTCTTTCATTTCTGTTTCCACTGCCTGAAGCATGCCATTTACTGTCAGCATACCACAAATATTTTTTATTCCTATACCGTGTATAGAGCGAACAAGATGTTCTTATAATTGTCTGAGACCATAAATATCATATTGGGGCAGATTAATACTCTGTGTTAACAAATTGTATTAATTTGGATTCAAGGACACTGGAAGCTTTGCTTTTTAAAAAATTTTATCCCAATTATAAAAGTAAAAAGTGGTTAATGTAGGAAATTTGGAAGAAAACCGAAGAGTTCTGTAAGAAAATAAAATCATATTTTATATAAAATAATATTTCTATAAGGAAATAAAAGATCTATAATCCCATTACCACTTAACTGTTAACATTTAATATTCTAGTCTTTTTTCATATGCATATGTTTGAATATATTCTTTTTTTTTTCTGACTAATGATTTTTAGCACCTATGTGCTATTTTTAGCACCTATATCACATAGATATCCTGTAATTTATTTATCCAAATCCATATATTGGAGCTTATAGTTGTTTTTAACTTTTTTTTGCTGCGATATTCCTCCCTGTGCTTCTTTGATTATTTCCTTAGGTCAGATTTTTTTCTTTTATTGTAGTAAAAATATATATAACAAAACATTTCTTATTTCAACCTTTTTACATGTACAACTCAGTGACAGTGATTACATCTGCCATGTTGTGCAGCTATCACCACTATCCATTTCCAATATTTTTATCACCTTTAATGGAAATTCACGGAGTCACCGTAAGTTGGAATCAGCTCCGCAACTGTTACAACAGAAACTTAGTGCCCCTTAAACAATAACTTTCCCTTTCCCCCCTCACCCACCCTGGTAACCTCTAATCTGCTTTGGTCTGTGCAGTTGCCTATTCTGGATATTTCATATAAGTGAGATCATATAATATATATATGACATAAAATTTGGCATTTTAAGCATTTTTTTCTTTTTTTTTAATTGAACTTTAAATGAAGGTTTACAGAACAAACCAGCTTCTAATTAAGCAGTACATATATTGTTTTATGACATTAATTAACAACCCCATGACATGTCAGTACTCTCCCTTTTCAACCTTGGGTTCCCTATTACCAGCTTTCCTGTCCCCTCCTGCCTTGTAGTCCTTGCCCCTGGGTTGGTGTGCCCCTTTAGTCTCGTTTTGACCTATGGGTCTGTCTAATCTTTGGCTAAATGGTGAACCTCTGGAGTGACTTCATTACTGAGCTAAAAGGGTGTCCGGGGGCCATATTCTCAGGGTTTCTCCAGTCTGTGTCAGGCCAGTAAGTCTGGTCTTTTTTTTTATATTTTATTGTACTTCAGGTGAAGGCTTACAGAACAAATAGTTTCTCATTTAACAGTTACTACAAATGTTGCCCTATGACAATGGTTAACAATCTCACAACACATCAACAATATCCTTACTCAATCTTGTGTTCCCTATCACCAGCTTCCTTGTCCCCTCTGCCTTCTGTCCCTTGTCACTGGACTCCAGTACCTTGTTAGTCTCATTTGGTTTTACGGGAAGTCTGGTCTTTTTTTGAGTTAGAATTTTGTTCTACGTTTTTCTCCAGCTCTGTCCGGGACCCTCTATTGTGATCCCTGTCAGAGCAATCAGTGGCGGTAGCCAGGCACCATCTAGTTGGACTGGACTCAGTCTGGTGGAGGCCATGGTAGTTGTAGTTTATTAGTCATTTGGACTAATCTTTCCCTTGTGTCTTTAGTTTTCTTCATTTTCCCTTGCTTCTGAAGGGGCGAGACCAGTGGAATATCTTAGATGGCCACTCACAGGCTTTTAAGACCCCAGATGCTACTCACCAAAGTAGAAGGTGGAACATTTTCTTTATAAACTATGTTAATGCCAGTTGAGAGAGATGTTCCCCGAGACCATTGTCTCCACAGCCCTCAGCCCAGTAATTTGGTCCCTAAGGGAGTTTGGATTTGTCCATGGAGCTTCCATGACCTTACCCTGAACAAGTTGTTCTGGCTTCCCCAGTGTTGTGTACTGTCTTACCCTTCACCAAAGTTACCACTTATCTGTGGTCTATTTAGTGTTTTTCAACCCCCATACCTCCCCTCCCTTGTAACCATCAAAGATTGTTTCTTTTTCTGTATAAACCTTTTCATGAGTTTTTATAGTAGTGTTCTTATACAATATTTGTCCTTTTGTGGTTGACTTATTTCACTTAGCATAATGCCCTCCAGATTCATCCATGTTGTGAGATGCTTTGCAGGTTCGTCATTGTTCTTTATTGTTGCATAGTATTCCATTGTGTGTATGTACCATAGTTTATCCATTCATTTGTTGATGGGCATCTGAGTTGTTTCTGTCTTTTTGCTGTTGTGAGCAGTGCTGCAGTGAACATGTGTGTGCATATGTCTATTCGTGTGACAGCTCTTAATTTTCTGGGATATATTCCTAGGAGTGGGATTGCTGGATTGTATGGTATTTCTGTTTCTAGCTTTCTAAGGAAGTGCCATATAGTTTTCCAAAATGGTTGTACCATTTTGCGTTGCCACCAGCAGTACATAAGAGTTCCAGTTTCCCCATAGCCTCTCCAACATCATTTTAAGTATTTTTAAGTATACAATTCAGTGACATTAATTACATTCACCATGTTGTGCGACCATTATCATTTTCTATTTCCAAAAGTTTTATATTACCCCAAACAGAAACTCAGTACCCCTTAAGCAATGCCTCCCCATTTCCTCTTCCGCTCACTCCTTGTAACCACTAATAAACTTTACTCTCCATGCATTTGCCTATTCTCGATATTTCATATAAGTGGGATCATTCAATATTTGTCCTTTTGTGACTGACTTATTTCACTTGGCATAATGTTTTCAAGGTTCATCCATGTTGTAGCATGTATCAGGACTTCATTTCTCTTTATGGCTGAATAATATCCCCCTGTATGTGTATACCACCTTTTGTTTATCCACTCACCTATTGATAGACACCTGAGTTGTTTCCATAGGTCAGATATTTACAAGTGCGATTACTTGGTCAAAGCGGGTAAGATCTTTTTGTTGGCTTTCAATGCTGATAAATGATCTCCACAAAGAATTCACCACTTGAAGCTCCCACCAGTGATGCACGGGGGTACCTGTTTCATTACACAGTCTCTATTTCTAGGTATTATTACAAATAAACAACAAACCAACAAAAATAAACCTGTCATACGTTTAGATTTTAAAGATAGAAATTTTCCTGATTTCTGAATTTTTACATTAACCTTTATTGGTTCTTAGCTTATGCTTCTTTATTATAGGAAATTGTCTTTTCAAGACTGGTGCTCAGAAGCTCAAGGAGGTTCATAATAATAATAAAAACGTGTATAATTGGGCATAGTACAATACTGCAGGCATTATGCTGGATGCTTTATAAATATCAACTTATTTAATCTTTTTTTTTTAATTGTGCTTTAGGTGAAAGTTTACAGTGTAAGTTAGTTTCTCATTCAACAGTTGACACAAAAATTGTTTTGTGACATTGGTTGCAGTCCCTGCAATGTGACAGCACTTTCCCCCTTTCCACCCTGCGTCCATTCGTCCAATTTTCCTGTCCCTTCCTGCCTTCTTGTCTTGCTTTTGGGCAGGAGTTGCCCATTTGGTCTTATATATTTGATTAAACTAAGAAGCACGTTCCTCACGTGTGTTATTGTTCGTTTTATAGGCTTGTCTGATCTTTGGCTGAAAGTTGAACTTTGGGAGTGGCTTTAGTTCTGAGTTAACAGACTGTGCAGGGGCCATAGTCTCAGGCGTTCCTTTAGTCTCTGTTAGACCAGTAAGTCTGGTCTTTTTTTGTGAATTTGAATTTTGTTCTAGATTTTTCTCTTGCTCTGTCTGGAACTCTGTATTGTGATCCCTCTCAGAGCAGGCACCATCTAGTTCTTCTGGGCTCAGGCTGGAGCTGTGGTTCATGTGGTCCTTTAGTCCCTTGGGCTAATATTTTCCTTGTGCCTTTGGTTTTCTTCATTTTCCTTTACTTCAGACAAGATGGGACCAATAGGTGTATCTTAGATAGCCACTTGCAAGCTTTTAAGACCCCAGTCACTACTCACCAAAGTAGGATGTAGAACATTTTCTTTATGAACTGTGTTATGCCGGTTGAGCTAGATGTCCCCCAAGACTGTGACCCCTAGCCCTCAGCCCCATCATTTAATCTTCACATTAGTTATGGAGGTAGGAAATATTCTAATTTTACAGAGAAGACATTTAAGATACCGTTTAGTTTTCACCTTTGTGTTTATGGAGCCTGACCTAGCACCTGGCACATTCAGATGGATATAGTGTTTGTGAAATGAACATTGGATGAATCTTTTATCTGTTAGCTCAGTCCATATTTTGGAATCCTACCTGGATAGGTTACGGCAGCAGGTACCCTAGGGTTAATGTGGTGCCAGTATGTTGACCTTCATTATTTTATTACTTATTGAAGTAAACTTGCAAGTCTAAACCAGAACAGAATGTTTTTATTACATGAGAGGGAATGGAATGCACCCCAAGTGGCTAACCCACAATTCCTAAAATTTAATTTTTGTTCTGACAGAGAATTCTTTTGGGTATCCTCTGAGCCTAGTGCTGTGGTTACACAACTCCCAATATTATAAAAATTGAAAAATGTCAACAGTGTCTAAACACCCAGTGCAAATGAATGATTTGCTTTATATTTGATTATCATCCATATACAGTAAAACCTGCAAAAGTTGGAACCTGTATAAGGCGGAAACCTGTCAGAGAAGGAAAACTAAAATATTTTCCACTAATAGAGAACAATAGAAAAATAGTAAGACTATACCCTGTCAAAGGCAGAAAACTTGTGAGACCTGGAAAAACAAGGCAGTTGCATCGAGTTATGGCTCTCATAGGTTTCATTGTATTAACCTCTTTATGATTTTGTAGTCCCTCTACTTTCAGGTAGTGTCCAGATTGCCTGGGAAATAGAGGGCTTGCAGAAATGGAGCAGCATTTTCAGAGCAACTTTTCTGATTTTTGCACATCAAGTGAAAATAGAACAGAATGAAGTAACTCAAAAGCCAAACAAAATTTTTTTTTTTTTTGCTCTGCAGTATAATTAATTAGCACCTACAAAACATTGAAATGAGAGCTGCTTTGTTGTTAGGTGCCACTAAGTTCTGGTTCATAGCGACTCTGTGTACAGCAGTTCTGGCTCATAGCGACTCTGTGTACAGCAGAATGAAACATTGCCCGGTCCTGAGTCATCCTCACAATTGTTGCTGTCTTTGAGCCCACTGTTGCAGCCACTATGTCAGTCCATCTCATTGAGGGTGTCCCTCTTTTCTGCTGATGCTCTACTTTACCAAGCATGATGGCTTTGTCTGTAGTATGACCTTTCTTTTGTTTTCAGATTTATTTCTTAACAGTGTGCTTGGAATTATGTGAATTAAAGGCCTTGTTAATGTAACATACAATTTTCATTAAAGGGTTTAATAGCTTAAAAGGAACAATCTTGGACAGGGTTGCAAATACTTTGTCTTGGAAGCTGAGAACTCTTTAATCTGTGGATCAGTGGTCACAGGATAGTCTCATTAATCACTTCAGCAAGCAAAAAAAAAAAAAAAAAAAGAAACAAAAGCAAACCCTAAACATTTGTTGAAAATATGATGTTGCAATGGTACGTTCAGAGATGAAAAATAATTTAGTTTTTGAGAGACCGCATGGAATCTTCTTAATGGTGATATAATTGTGGATACATGTTTAACAAGTTGACTTTGATTGTGTGGTTCCCTTTTTTTCTCCCTAAGATGCCACCAGAAGTGGGTACACATTAATTTCTTGTCCTTAAAATTTCTTTCCTTCTCTATTCATTTTTATAATAAAAAGAAAATATTTCTTTTAAGCCAAGTTAGGATAAAGTGGTTATATCTCTCTACAGTACTGTGGGATACAGGTAATGGAGTCTCTTTGTATGTTTCTCTTTTGTTTTTTAGTTACAGATCACTAGAATAGCTCAATGTCTGAAACAGTCCTTTGACTTAAATTTTCAGGGCAAAAATTTGGTAAAACATATTTTTGGTAACTTAATTTCAGAATCTTGTAATTCAAAACTAGAAAGAATTTATCAAAATCAATGAGTGTTGCATGTTTGAGAGGTCTCAGGTGTGTATATTTGGATTTTCATTATACCTTAGATTTGTTCAGTATGGGAGGATGAGTTACTAATTTAAAACTTTATGTCAGATCGGAGCTGTTAACTTAATTGAAAACATTAATTTTTTTCTGACCCTCCTATCTGCTAGTAGTATACATAAAGATAGTCCAGGCTTTATTTTATATGTAATAATCTTGGACAAACTTACCCGACTTTTTACTCTATAAAACGTGAATGTTGTGTCAGACAGATGAGCTTGGGCAGAAAGAACAATTAAAAAAAAAATTCCAACAACATTTTGATCATCATCTTTGAAACTTACGCTACCTTTAAAGTGTGGCTCTCTGCTCATCTGTGCCCCTCTTCTGCCTGCCTTTACCTCTGTCCCACTTCAGCAGAACATGTAACTGTCTCCCCCGAGGTGGTAACATGGTGGGCCATCTTTGGATGAGTGGTCAGGTTTTTTTTTTTTTTCTTAGGTGGTACTTATCACTGAAGAGCTCCAGGTGCTTTTTAAATAATAAAGTTTTTTTTTTTTTTCAAGTAATAGATTGTCACTTATGTAGCTTTTAACTGATAGAAACAATGGATCAATGATATGCTTATTGTTCTTGTTAGCTGCCATGAGTCAGCCCCTACTCATGGAGACCTGGATCCCAGACCATTGTGAGCTATAGGATTTTCATTGGTTGACTTACAGGAGTAGATTGCCAGCCTTTATTTCTAGTTATCTTAGTCTGGAAGTTCCACTGAAATCTGTTCAGCATCATAGCAACATGCAGTCCTCCATTGTGAGAAGAGTGGTGACTGAGCTTGAGGTACATCGGCCGGGAATCGAACATGGAAGGTGGGAATTGTACCACGGAACCACCACTGCCCTCTGATATGCTTATTACAACCCTTTAAAATAAGGTTTAGTACTTTTCTGGAATTCTTTCCAGTGATAAATTCAGTTATAATTCTGTAGAATGACTGCTTTGGTCACATACAATTGTGATTTGAATTCTTAACATGCATTTGATTACTTAAAACAGCTAGCCCCTTGCCTTTTTCTTTTGCCACTCTATCTCCCCAAACCAAAACAAACCCATTGCCGTCCAGTCAATTCTGACTCATAGTGATCCTATAGGACAGAGTAGAACTGCCCCATAGGGTTTCCAAGGAGCAGCTGATGGATTCGAACTGCTGTCCTTTTGGTTAGCAGCTGAGCTCTTAACCATTGCGCCACCAGGGCTCCACTCCATCTCCAGAGGTCTATAATGAACTGTTTTCAAAAACCAGATCACTTATTGTCACGTATTTCAGTTGTGGTGTTTGTATGGTACCTTGTTGGGTGATTGTAAATGAACATGCAGTACGAAATGCCTGCCTCTTAACTTTGTTCTGAGGTTCTCTTTCTAGTTAAAAGGGTGGGTGTAAACTTTAAAGACAAAGTGTATAAACTTGTTCTTCTACCTTATTAGAAGTGAAATATTTTAGGAGCCTGATGATGAAGCCAGACACCTATAACCTATGTATAGGACTTCATGTAGCTGTATTTGATTTGGAAAATTAAGACCGTTTCAACCCGCATATTTTTTTTTCTCGACAGCAGAGGGCAGCAGAGTTCTAAATGAAATGGCCCCTTGTTATTTTGATTTTTCCAGTTGCCTCTTAACAGATTTGCAGCTCGTAGCATAATTTACCTGAGGATCTCTAGGATCACCTTGTAAAATTTCTTACTCCTGTCATTTCCTCTATTCCTCTTTTACTCTGGAGAAGTAGACATAAATATGAAGACAGAACTTGCTCAATCAGTACTCAGGCAATAATAAGTAGATCTGAATTTTTTATTTCTTAATTTTATTGGTAATTTTCCAATAATTTCTTTACCATAATTTACTCTTTTACTGAAAATGTGTCATTGCTTTCTAGACACCTTCGTCATTTAAATTTTTGAAATAAATTTTAGAAGTTAGAAAAGTTTATCCAGTAAAAATGCTCTAAATGATCAAATAAACCTCTTCAAATGATTCTGACTATCATGCATACAAGCTATGTATAATTTTTAAAAAATTATGTGGATTAAACCCTTACAGCTGATTATTTTGCTCTCCAGGCAATGAATCGCTCCCTGGCTAATGTGATTCTTGGAGGCTATGGTACCACTTCAACAGCTGGTGGGAAACCCATGGAAATTTCTGGCACACATACAGAAATCAGCCTTGACAATGCAATTGACATGATTCGAGAAGCTAATAGCATTATTATTACTCCAGGTAAAAAACAAAACAAAAAAAAACCCAGACAACTATAATATGGTATTGGATAGTGATGGATGGTGTTGGTGGTAGGGGAAGGTAGAGGGAATAGCTTGAGCCGAGACTTGGCATTTGGGAAAAACGGAGATAGAAAAGTGGACACAGATGTGAGATTCATTGTACAGGAAGAATGGACAGAATGTCGGGGTTAAAGGAGAAAGAAGTGACTGAAATTTTTCGTTATGCCTATAAGAACATCAGAATTGTTGGGAGACCATTTTTTGGTGGAAGAGGAGCATTTTAAGTTCTGTTTTAGAGACATTAAATTTGAGGTGGAGATGAGACAGTGGACATGCCATACTGTAGTTCAAATGACAGGTCAAAGCTAGAGACAGATTGGGAGTCATCAGTTGATAGTTAAAAAAAGAAATTGGCTGAGATTTTCTAAGGAGAGTGTGAGGGGGTAAAGCTAAAGCCCTGGGTAACGTTGTCATTTAAGGGGGAGAACAGAAAAAGAACAGCTATCCAAGGAAATAGAGGAAGAGTAGTAACAAAGTTAGGAGGGGAAGCAGAGGACTGCAGGGTCATCAAAGCCAAGGATGAAGGTAGTTTAAAAGCATATGTGAGTGTGTGTGGGTGTGTGTACAGGGGGAGGGTGCCCAGCCATATCAGATATTACAGAAGACCGAGGAGGGAGCATTGGATTTTGAATTTGAAATTTAGGCCAATATTTGAAAAAGTCCAGACTCAAAGTTTGCTTTCATTTTTAGTCTTGTGTATGTTGGCATAAAAATAAGTTTTGATAAGGGAGAGATTAGTTCATAAAATTTCAAAAAAAATACATTCTTCTGTGTTTTTAATGTTTCTTGTAGGCTATGGTCTCTGTGCAGCCAAAGCTCAGTACCCCATCGCTGATTTGGTAAAGATGCTCAACGAGCAAGGCAAAAAAGTCAGGTAGGTGCTTGCAAGTGAGAGGCGTGGCATGAGCGTAATGATGCACATGTGAAATAAAAGTAAGTAGATGACTGTTTTTTAAAGTGAAATTTTACATATGTAATCCTAGGTACAACAAGTAAGTTGTTATAGAAAACTCTCCTCTAGGGTTAATCTTACTACCTAGTTTTTGCTCTTACTCTCTAATAGTGTGAACGGTACTAAACACAGATTTATTTCAGAAAGGGAACTTTTATTATACCAAATTCCAGGCTATTTATTGAGGGGGAAATAAAGCAGAAGTCTGGGGTCTCTGTGATTTGATTTGGAGGAGGAGGTCTAACAAAGTATTTGAACTACATCAAATGGTGTCTTTTTGGTTTCTGTTTTTCACACTGAAGAAAAACAGAAGGTCTCAAACAAGAGGGCTTTGAAGAGTGAAACCCAGTAGTAAACCTGTGGGCTAATTACTGTTTTGCTCGTTTAGCTTTCAAACTCTCAGGGTGGAAAAGACTGATGAAATTTTCTTTTTCTAATATACATTATTAGAAATATGATTTAGAGCAGCAGCTGCTCCTGCCATTTGTCATTTGGGCACTGGTCTCAACTCTTGGTAGGCAGGTAGGATATTGAGCAGATCAGCAAAGTTGAGGACTCTGCATTCCTAGGCCGTTCCTCAGCACCTTGGATAAAGAATTTGAGGAACATAAAAATGGGGCCATTGGGTGGTGAACTTGGTGACCACTGTGACACTTTGCATTTGTCTTGTTCACCTTTGGCTCCCCATTCTGAATGCTAGTGTTACTTAGGAGTCAGTGAACAGACCCTCTGGAGTTATCCCTAGTAGACCTGCTGCTTATGTGGTGGGCAAGCTGGTTCAGTAGCAGTACCATTGACACAGAGCTGCAAGTCAGAGAGACAAGATGCTGTGTATGTCATAAAGCAGAAATAGTTTGCTCACCAGATGGTTAGCGTCTGTTAACAAAACTGTATTAATGTTTCCTAATAAAAGTTCCTTTTGACATAACTCCTAAAATTTTGGATGGGGACAGATGATAAGAAAGTAAACCAAATAGTATGCCTAGAACTAAGCAGGGTATCTGTACCAGAACTGGATACAGACTCCTGATCTTTGTCTTGAATGTCCCAGCTACTAATAGTGGTAAAAGTGGCTTAGATAATGAAATCAGATAGTTACCTAAAAAGTTTTAGTGTCAGCAATATGAATATGCAGCTGCATTTTCTTCCTTCTTTCCTTTCCTTCTCAGTTTTCCTCTCTTTCCGTTTTCTTCTCCCCTTGCCCCCTCTCCCTGTAATCTGTAGTTTGTCTGTTTTTCAAATACATGAAGTCAAAATACTATCACTCATAGATTACTAGGTATGTAATGCAGATGGTTTCTATATTTAGGAATAATCTTAGATGAATTGAAGATAGAAGATGCAAATAGTCATTGACTTAAAAAAATTTTCACATAAGAAGTCTCCTTTTTAATTACTTATTCCTATTTTCACATAGGGCATTAAACTGTGCCTCTCTTTTAGGCATAGTTTTGCTGCTTAGAGTATGCGCAGAGCTGTAAGTGGAAAGGATGTATAAAAGAATCTTTTTTGATTTTCCCAGAGAGATTGTTTTCCTTTATTTAATCCACATGTGAAAAAGTCTAATGTGTTAGTAATACCTTCTGTCACCACATAAATGTTTAGGAGATGAGTGGCAATCCTAATAAAATAGAGAGAGAATGATGGCTTTCATGTCTCAGTTATCCTTAGCAAAGGGAATGGTGAATTTGACATACCTCTGCTATTATCCATTGACTGGCCTAGGTTAAGGCAGACATTGTGGAAAATCAGCCCAGTGTTAGATGGGTGGATGCAAAGTTGGAGAGCCTTAAAATACTGTTAGGCAGCTTGAAGGAGGGCAGGATGTGAAACGAAAGGAATTAGAGGGATAGAGAAAAATGATCTGAAAAGAAAAGTGATAAGACAAATGAATATTTAGTTTTTGACCTGATTAAAATTAGAATTTCATCCACGAGGACATAATATTAACTCCTGTGGTAGGATGATTTCTGTCACACTGCATGGGAAAGTAATTATTTGACTTAAGATTGGGGGTATTTAAGTCTATGTTTATAAATAGTTTCTCAGTTATAAATTTTACAGAAGTGATTTTGTTACTAGGACAGAGAGCTTTTCATCATTTCACATAATTGTTGACATAGATGTTCAAAATATTTTTTTATGTAAGATCATAATAAAATTATTGCTCAGCCTGGTTTCTGTGTTTGTGAGTTAGGAAAACCAATATTCATCTGCCTATTTCATATTAATGGAGAGACTGTATATTGATAAAATTTTTTTACTGTATATATTGAATTTTCAACATGGACTCTGTAACAGAGTTATGTAAATCTCATAGCTGAATTAAAGGAAAGGATTATTCTTGCTAACATGATGACAGTAGATTATCATATTTTTCTTTCTAGCTTCTGTGTGGGATTTTTTCTTTTTTTTAATTTAAAAGGAATTATAGCAGCTTTGTTGATTTTGCTTTATGTGTGTCATCGTCTTTTCACGGGAGAAATGCAAATTTTCTTTATGAAGTTAGGAATACATATATACATAGAGGCTAGCTTTTTTCTTTTTCTTTTTTTTTTTAAGAGGCAAATGCCTGTTTGAACAAGAGATGGCTGCAGCGTTTACCTTGTATTTTAATGAAATAAGTCTGTATTTACAGTTTGCGGTAATTTAGTCCTTTCATCACTCTGTGGAGCTCCCACGGTGTTCATTGAGTGCAGCTGCTGGCCCTCTGGTTTCAGTCGGTCTTTGTGCCTCAGGACCCCAGCATGCCTCACATCCAGATGTGGTGACATACTCGCACACATCCCTGTGGAAATGTGCCAGTGTGGACATACGATTGCCATCAATTAGTTATGCCCATGTGGTGCCAAGAAAAATTGCATCTGTCATACAGTCTGTCTGGCTTCATGGCCCATGATTTAGAGACATTCCTGTTTTCTTTTACTTTGGCCATAGTAATAACATGCTCACAAAAAGCTGAGATTATATAATGAAGCACATGACATTTCACGATAAGAGCTCATTTCAGAACGTCATGAAAGTTCATGGGCTTAGTCTTTCTCTAGTGACCAAATTTACATTGCTTCCCGATTGCCCAGAATGCGTGTGCAACTTACCTAACTTATACTTGGTCTCTAAAAGCATTTTATTACACAATTCTGCTACGAGAGCACAGACATTGTTTTTTCTCTACTTCTCTATTTTGGGGTTGAATATATTATAGGGCTTTCCTTATAAAGCAAAGATAATGTTCCCTATGAATAATTCATAGAAATGGGTGCAATTTTTTTTCTCTTTGTAATTGATCACTGCTTAATTTTCTTCCTATAAAGGATTATTACTTGGATTGTCACAGAAGTCTTTCGAATTTATGAGACCACTTTTCACCTTCTTTGACTAACTTATGTGTTGCTTTCATGTTAATGTTCAACTATATCTTATTAATTTATCAATAGAAACTTATTACTGGATACTGAGAATACAGAGATGCTTAAACTGTCAAGAGTTTATAGTTATGAAGACAAATCCCATTTAATGTGATGATATGGTAAAACAAGTAGAGTAAAAGTAGGGAAGGAATGCAAAGGAGCGGAGTAGTTAACTGCCCAGGAGATGTTTTAAGCTTTTCATACTACCCATAACATGAAATTTTTTATGTTTTTAAAAACAGAAATACACATCTATTTTTTATCCTCTGTCTAAACTCATCTAGCTGCTTTTGGTATTTGAAGTTTAATACTTCTTATGGTTTGGTTTAAATATATGTTATTTTTGCTGAGAAATCTATTCTTTGAAGATGCTTTAAGATGAAATATTTTGCCATCTAACTCGGGTTTCTTTGCTTTTCACATATTAAATGTGATTCAAATGAACAAAGAATCGGCCTTGTTGGATTTGTTATGTTCGTGGGTGGAGGAGAGCCAGGGTATGCAGATCTGTAAAGTAATAAAAGTACATGCTCCTGAAAAGAATAGATATTAGGCCAGATAAAATATATAATATAGTATTTGGGTAAATAAGTAGACATTATTTACCAATTTCATGTCAGCGTTGTAATACTTTCTTTTCGTATATGGGTATTCATTCATTCACTGAACAAATATTTATATAGTGCCTACTTTGTGCCAGGCACTGTTCTAGGTCCTGAGGATACGTGAGTGGATATACAGATAAAAATTCCTAACCCTGTGGAGCTTAAGACACGTTCACTGGGAGGTTAGTTAATTGCGCTTCAAGATCTTTTAAATTGGAGACACTATAATATCATAGTGTCTCCAGTTCAGTGCTATTGAAATGGGGAAGAACATCTGTAATATGGGAATTATAGCATATTTTCAGTTACAACTGGCACTACATTATTTGGTGATGAATTAGCCAGTGCTTCTGGTTTTCTGAAAGAATATGGTGTGTTTCTTTGTACTTTGCACTGAACCTGGCTTCTTAAAAACATGGCAACTGTAAGGTAGGAGTGATTGGTATTATTTGTGTGGTTGGTCAAATGAGTAAAACTTTTGGTAGAAGAGAGGAAAACCAAGGGAATATGTGTGTTTACTCACATGTGTGTTCAAACTGTTGTACATAATTGCCAGTATGTTATGCTCCTAGAAAGTGGCCACCTTCATCCCAGATTCTGACTGTTGACCAGAGTACCTTTGGCTTTATAGTGGCTACTTTAAACAGCATCTTGGTATGGTGGACGGAACAGAAGACTATGTTAAGAGTCTGTACTTTAGGTGCTTTGTAAAGCCTCTTCTAGCTGTACCTTTCTAGGACTCACTCGTTGGAAACTCTTGTCATAGACACTCCGGTACTCTGAGGGAGCTTGATATTGATGAAACTGGTGCCTCTAACCATCAGAGTGATTTTTGGTTTCTAGTTCTAGTATTAGTTATAATAAACTCTTTGAGCTGAGTTTCTTCTATGAGGTTTTTGTAAACATG